TACATAGTTGATATCCTAGTAAATAATTACACACTAATAACTTATGGTCAAAAATATTCACATGAAAATAATAATTAAATTTAGGAGTAATAAGTTAGCCAAGAAATTTAAAATGTAAAAAGAAAAGTGAAGAAATCATGAATACAATACTATGATAAAATTATAACATGATTATCTATGTAGAATAAAAATTGCCTATTCAAAACTCCTTTAATATCGTTATCAAGTATAATTTTAATGCTTTATAGCTTTTACTTTGTTATTATTGCTAAATATCATATTTTTTGAGACGATACATACAGGCGGTTCATGTATCATAAAATATGAATAGTAACCGATAACGTTTGTGTACTATATATTTCTTTTATTATGATATTATGCATCTCATTTTCTCCAAAGCATTGTTAAAAAGATATTGATTACTTTATTCCAATCAGATTTCATATTATGAATGAAAAAGGTAGTTGTGCAAATAGCATATTTATATATGTTCAACAATGAATGATAGATATGTCTTACTACTTTGATATATTACAAACTACACCAGTTGTTGTCTATAAAATTGTTAGAAAAAATCATAACTTTTAATAAAGTAATGACTTACACAGTACTAAAAAAAAATAACATATAATATAATAATATAAAATAATATTCTATGAAACGTTTTATTTACAAATGCAACTCCAAATTATCTAAATTATTTATGCCAAAAATTCATCGGATAGTAATCGATGGTTAAATGTTATGCATCATCAATTTAAAAATATCGATAAATTGATAAAGTAACACCTTACAGTATCCAATAATAATTTTAGTACTTAAAGTATAATGATTAAAAAATACCGTACAAAATCAAACGTCTTTCACAACATAAAATATATAAAAATACATCTGTCTTATCTTATACTTCTTTTTTCACTCGATTCGTGTTGAAAACGAATGTTTGAAGAAATAATAAAAATAATAGAAACATCGTAACAAGGAGTTTACCTAATATAATTACATATATATTCAGGTTTCTCTAGATGTACCAAACTCATATACTTATTCAACACATAATATAATTTATTATGTTGTATAATATTTAAATATTAATATTTTCATATTATATCTACCTACGTTTTATACAAAACTATAAAATATTAATACAATAAATATTTTTTTAATTCCTACATTAACCAAAATATTCTAAGATAAAATTAAAAATGTAATATAATATCTTAATCATGGTAGACAAGACGATTAAGACTTGATAAGTATAATTAAATATAATTACTAAGTAAAAATAATTAGGTAATACAATTTATTTAATGGTTTCGGCATTTATTTTTGTGTTTTTATATTTAGTTATGAACATATTATTATCACTCAGGATATAAAATGGGTAAGTGCAAATAATTAATTCATTTTTGATTTGAATTTAAATTTACCTATATTATTAGATTAAAATTTTAAAATTCAAATGTCGGGTGTCCAAAATAATAAATTGCACCTATAATAATATAATTAACTGTAACTCGTTACTTCTGTTAATATATAATTGCTATCAGTTGTCTCCGTAGTACACTTTACACTAAATGTGTCAAACTATACATAGAAACATAATACTAACAAGTCTTGTTTTATTTATTTTTTAGTAATGTTAATGATGTGGTTATGATAAGCTTATTTATTTTAGTATAATTAATTTTCGAACATACTGTTGTTTAAAAATTGAGGCACTGTACACATTATTTAAAATTATTTCGCTTTTACTTTTGATCAACTAAAATTTTAAGCCAATCAAAACAAGACCAAGGTCCTTTAATTTAAATGATATTTTATTTTTATTTTTTGTTTTAAGTGCAAATAATAATCAAGAAGTTTTTTTTCTAGTTTTAAAATAGACATTATTTTATTTTATTTTGTAGATGTCTATATACTTTGAATACAAGAACTATAAATAAACGAAATAAGCATGTATATTACAGAAACGTTCAAATGTCATTACCCAAGTAACCAGAGAAGAGCGTATAGTCGTAATATATATATATATTTATTGTAGCGTATATTATGTGTATTCGTAAACGTACTTAAACGAAAAAAATATTAAATTTATATATACACATTATATACATAATACTGTTATATTATCATATATACTCATTTTTTAAACTTCATATTACAACATTGATACATTATTGTTATATAACAACACACACATATTACGGGGTTGAAACCAATTAATGTAACGAGCAACAATCATAGAAACATACCTAGAAATAAAAAATGCAGTCATTAAATTACTGATTATTATTTGTAATGTTTGCGAATAATTAAGGAGTGTTTGATTGAACGAAATATGCATCTATCTATTTATCTCTATTAATTACGCAACGCTGATGATTTTGCTCATAACTACAGCAAGTGAAATAAAATTCTTACGGTATGATATTTTATATTATATTATTGAAGCCATCAAGCTAATGTATTTCAACATTACTTAGTACTGACTAACCCATTGGTACTCCTCTTCTGACAGAAGAACGATACATCCCATAAAGTTCTTGATAATTAATTGCTATTATAAATTTCTTTTAACGATGGATGTTACTAAAATTCCATTAACCTTCTGCGCAGATACTTAAAATACATTATACCTAAACAATGACTCAAGAATTATATTTGCAATATAAATAAATAAATATATATATATATATATATATATATATAACAAAATGGTAACACAATCATTTCCGAGTATATTAAATACTTGATCTCCATTATAAATTAACCAATAGTATGCATAATATATAACATATAGTAATTTACGTATAATATAACTAATTTTAAACATGAACATAAAATGTAATTTTGCTAGATAATTTACACTTTAAGTGAATTAACTAATTCATTTGGTGTTGTTAATTAAATCTGAAAACTAATCTAATCTATTAATCTACAACAAAATAAAAAATAAAAATATATCTAATCAATGAATTAACCTATAATATTTTAAAAATTTTCAATGATCTAATTAAGAGTTTTTACCATTTTTAGTTTCCTTTATTTTTTAATAGTCTTAAAATTAATTTGTATAAAATAAATGAAAGCAATATTGATAATTTACTATATGCATATATATATTAGTATTGAATAAAATTATTCATTTAATAGAATTAAGTAATTTTAATTGATAATAAATTAATTTTAACACTATTTTCCATAATCATTTTATTTTATTAACAAATAAAATAAATAAAATTGTTATCTTTTATATTTGTAAAAATGTTACATTAATTAATAGGTACTCTGCCGCGGGTAAATAAATACCTAATATTAACTGATAACCTTAATCAATTACTTAACACATATTATATGTAAACTAAAATATCTAATCTAATAAAATATTGTACCTATAGTCGTAATACTATATTATATACTATAGTATTATATATATAAAATGTGATAATAATAAATAATTAAAATTGTTGTTTTCATATATATATATATATATATGCAATTGACTAGAGTAGATCGTTTTATATTAGGAAAATAACTTTTTTTACATTTGAGAAACGTCTACTTAATATGCATGAAATTAATAAACTTAAAAAGCTTACTTGTGACTTATTTTTTGCACAAAAATTGTCTTGTAAATTGCAGGAAAAAACTCTCAGGTTTCGTAGAACAATCCAATTTTGATATTTTTTTTGTTTTTTAATTAGAAGAAGAATTCTAACATTGAATTTTAATAAAAAATTCTATTTCTTAGATCCATTTATAAAAATTTAAATGCGACTAATTGTGACAACGCGATAATGTATTGCTTAAATAATATTTCCTTATTAAATATATAGTATTAGTAGGCTCCTTAACATATTAAAATATATGTTTTGAACCTATGAAATCCCAGAAAAAAATTTATAACGATTTTGGGTAGTTATTATATTATAAAAGCTAATCTAATAATTTCGATTATTATATTAAAATCTATCATTGAATAGATATTAATTTAGGCATATGATTCAATGTATCATATCACCTGGTATGTGGCTCGTTACGGTCGTGGCGTACCTACATATTGTATGACAATGATGAGTTCAAGTATGATTATCATTTCGTTGTCATATAAAATCTCTTGGCATAAATTACTTGTTTCATCTTATCATCCGTCATAATAATATGCTACTATAGAATTTCAGCTGTAAATCGTAATTTATACTGCGGTAAAACTTTTATTCTATAAACTGATATAGACTTATTGATGCAATATAATATCGAATAAAACTTATAAGTCATAATTTATGTACAATTCTTATTATTGTACGATTCGTATGAAAACTAAATGGGAAATTAAGCGATAAAAACCAAGTTTGGAGTCAAGTGTACAGAGTTTATTTCAAGTACAAAGTCAAACGAATTTATATTTTCACCAAACAAATCACTTTTGTACGTCACGTTCCTATGACCCAAGTTCAGCTTGGTGTGGCAGAGGTACCCTTCTCGAATAATCATGTACCGTTCGTTCATTCCTAACGTATAGTAGTCGTTGACTTGTCTCAAATCATCCATTACAATAACACACCAAGAAATGAATAATGTTATGAAGTCTACCTACTACGTACATGGTATTTAGTATAGTTTTATGGCGTCTAACCTACCAGATTTTTTATCGGATTTAGATGGGCTCGATTGTGTGAAATCATAACAATATAATGTTGTACTAAATGTGTAAATAGCATGATGATTAACATTCAAGTAATTCAACAATAATTATTTTAATTGCACTTATAATTATATAAGAACAAAACTAAAATGAGGTGGAACAAAATATATAAATTTAACACATATCTGAGTAAGCAATTTTTAAGAAGTAAATAATTTAAGCTATCAATCAAATGATGTAGATACGGTTGTGATTGATGAAATATGGATAAAAATATCTATAAAAGGGATTAACAGTTGTGAGTTATTTCTAAACATCTTTTACCTGAAGTATTTAAACATTTCACCTCAACACTACATGTACAATATTCTAACCGATGTCACGAGGCAACAAAAGTAAGTACGTTAAGTCCATACATCATAACATCACAATATCCTGGTGGAGGGGGGGTGAAAGGGAGCGGTAAAACGAAGACGAAGACATGTCACGCTATGGAAATATGTGTATGCATGCGTACGTGTGTGTGTGTGTGTGAGAGAGAGCTCTGCAATGCAGAGGGGAAAATTAACAGAGCGGCTCAAACTATGCGCGTATCACTCAGTAAATTTAGTCGAATAAGACGTGGTTTTCCCATCGCTGCAATCCGTCGCCGTAGGCTGTACAGCGTGCACATACTATTGTGACTACCATCTGTACCGTAACACGGGCCCGCAAATCGCATGGACGCGACCAAGCTGGAAGCCAAATGGCCACCCGACAGGAAATCCACGATCGAAGCATCCGAATTTGGTATCTACAAGGAGCCTTCCAACAAGAAACGTCTGCGTGGCACTGACAGGGCCACAGGATGTCTCCTGGTTCTATCCCTGATCGCCGCTGCTGCGGTAGCGGTAAGCAATTCTACAACCCTGTACATAAAATAATTATACAGTATACTCGTAAATAACATGTATGACACAATGATATTATAATTTTAAGTACACCTAGGCCATGGTTTAAAACTATATTATAATATATAATAATATATATGTATATCCAATAATACAAATATTATGTATAAATTCTATTCATTTTTGTAGACAAATTCGATAACCTAATCATTTAAATCGATTTGAAACTAAATTAATAAAACATATTTATAAGAAATATATACTTGTGAAGAGTTAGAAATTTTTAAATTTTAGTTTTTAAAAATTGTATTATAACAGCACGTTCGGTATAATACAATAAGAAAGAACTTGGTTGGTTGTGATGTCAATAGGTATAGGTATGAAGCATTTTATCACACCATACTAAACCCTTAGCTAAAAACTCAAGACAGGCAATACACAATTTATTACATTTTACGAAAGTTTACCCGATCAACTTTACTCCTCATCGATTCAAACCCTTTTTCACCACATATGGCACCTTATCTTACCTGATGTCTTTAATGTACAGCAATTGTTTTAAAACTTTTGGTGATTTTAGTTAAGTTATCATCCCAGCAGCGATTTATCTTCACCCTTTTGATTTTGGCCATCTTCTATCATGTACGCATCATGCACGTGAACAATGATCGTTTAAAACCACAACGTGTACTTTATAGTTTCTCATTCCTATTTTTTGTACGATTTTAGAAAATTTCAATAGTAACCGTTACTGTTTTATAAAGTTATGTATCTTTTTTAAAATACAAACACAACATTAATAATATATTTTACTCTTGAGAATTTAAATCTTAAAATGATAAATATTTAAACACCGTATTTTGGGACACTTATCAGTAATCAATAATCAAAATACGCATTAATTGATGCTTTTATGATTAAACTCGTGCTAAAATCTTGTTTTTCATAATATACACACTAATATATATTTTGGTTAATTAATTATGTCTCTTTGTATATGAATATTGAATCTCATCATCTCAATTAAACAAATAATATATCACAAATTTGCATTTTTTTTCATTAGATTAATTGTATTGAAGTTTTCATCATACAATAACTCAGCATTAATGTTATCAAGAAGTAAGAATCGTTTTTAAATTATGAACGTTTAAAAGAAGCTTCTCTAAGATAATGACAGTTTCAAAAAACATACGATTCTTATTTGTATGTCTTACACAATAAAATAATGCATTTTTTTTTTTTTTAATAAACAGTTATAATTTTACAGGAGGTTTTTTCATGCATTTACAAGTAGTTACACGAATAGAGTGTATTAATCGAGCCATGAACATTATGGTCACCGAAACCTCGTGGTTATGATAATTATAAATAGATAGGTATACTTTCGGTGGTAATTATGTCAAACCGCGTTTTGAGTTCACAACATTTTTAATATATTTATTTTGTCTGAGTTATTTGTCGGACATGCACTCTCGTTTTTACCGTGAAAGCGTTTGATTTATTTTCATAAATTTTAGAAAACCAAAATCAAAACTTTAAATTAAAAATACAATAATAATTACAGTTTGTTACCTCAAATATACACATCAATATACACCTATGTACGCAACACCGAATTTATTTTCCGCTTTGTAGACAGGAACCATAAATATATTAATTTGGTTTTATCGTGTTAATTACACTAAAAATCAACGTATTATTGTATCGCATAAGGTAAAATATATATAGCGAAAACGAAAGTAAATTTCTATGCACATTGCTAAGTTGTATATTTGTTATAGTGTTACATGAAAAATGAAAAGAAATTTTATCTGGACATAGAATCATAAAATATCTCTTAAAAGACCAGATTATTTTTAAATTCGTATAACATTATATAAATTATATAATCACAATATTATGTGAATTGAATTGTTTAAAATTATTAGTACCTACTTGTAAATATATACCTTTTTTCAGCAATCTTATTAGTAGCTTATAGTAGCAATTTGATTTAAGTTTAAGCGGATAATTAAAATACTTATTTTCAAATTCTTATTTCATTTCATTTTTGTGGTGTACATTGATATTAAACGAGTTAAAAGGAGCTTCTCGGAGATAATAACAATTTCAAAAAACATAAATTAAATATAAAAACGTATTTTGGTAAAATGACAAAGCCAATATTTTTGTAGTTTTTTAAAATATTTGGATGATCAAATATTAACAAAATAATTGCACCTACTTTTAAACATAAATTTAAAAAAAAAAATGATTATTCCACCAAGTACTTTTTAAGAATAAGATAAATTTTTACTAATAATAATTTTTTTTAAAAATATGGTGCCTTATTAAGATAAATCATTGGTTACCTATTTATAATAAAACTACAAAATAAATTTTTAATTTACGTTTTAAAGCTAATACGTCTTCATATTCCATACTCTTATAATATTTACTTGTTCAGAGTAACTATTAAGTTCTGAAAATGTCTGCTTCAAATATACAATACGCGCATAACCAATGATTGTACCTGGTATCAAATGCATGCGAAATACCACAATATATTCTATTTATGTCCTTTGTTTATAAAAAAACAAATAACTAAAAAATACGTTATATATAAATAAAATCTTATTGAAAAATATTCGTTTATAATGTAATTTAACTATTTCATTTTTTAATTGATCAAATATATTCATTTACACGATAAATATTTTTTTAGCTGTACTTCACGTTTTATAATTATACGATTCCAACAAATCAAGGTGCATCTACTGGACCAATAGTGAGTTACGCAAAATATGTAAAAGAAAAAAATACGATGACTACTCAAACCGCTAACCGTTCAACAGACGGGCTTCTGGCTGCAGTTCTCGGTATAAAAAATTCTGAGAACTACACGACACATAATCCAGTGGATGACGTAGTTATTTCCAAGAGAATCGATGACAATAAATTAGAAAACGGTAGAAAAATGCGACTTTATCCACATCTGACACCACAACGGCCGACTTATTTATCCTACGACTCAAATTATTGGAGAACTAATTCAAATAAAAACAATAAGCTCGAGTATGCCGATAGTATATACGGGTTCAATCGAAGATCGGACTTTCCACAGTTGGCAGCTTATCGAGCACCATTCCCACCAAAAAGCATCCTGGACGTAATGAAGTACGTAACCGGGTCCCCTCATAAGGCAAATATTCCGGAATACATGATAGCACAAGAATCCAACCCTCGGTATTATCCTATAAGACCGGCAGAAGAAGTCAACAGATTCCTCCCGGATGTAAATATGCCAAGTACCAATTTAAGGAGATTCCGCAACAAATTTGGTCCACCAGTATACTTGACACCACCTACCATGTCATTACCGGATGACTTTATGAAGCCACCTAACCCAGAAGCCCATTATTCAATGGATTTTGAGAGAGACGTTCCTTTAGACCTTACGCTACAAGAAGGGTCAGCTAGTATACCGTCACATACTGATGTAATATTTCATCCACCATCTTTTAACAATATTTACCCTATACCAGATTCTCCAAAACCAAAAAAAGTTAAAAATAAAAGAAACAAAAAGCCAATAAGTGTTATGTTAGATATATATCCATTACCGGATAACGAACACGAAAACGAACAAGGTTAGTAATTTAAAATTAATTATACATAACAAAATAATATAAAATATTTTATTATCTGTAGGTATTTATAAGTACAATTTATAAGTGAATCAGATACCTAAATATATAATATATACATAACTTATACTTTGTGATAGTAAACTATCAACAATATTGATAAATTCTAAACAATTAATTAAATTAATTAAATTGAATACATTTTCTTAAGAAGAACTTGATCAATAAATCTATATTACTACTGATTTAGTAATATATTTTTTTTATTATTACTGATAACACAATTTAAAATGTAATTTAATAAAATTTCACAACTTTAAATTTATTATTTTTCTATAATAATTCGTACTTAAATTACAATTACAATAATATCACAGAAAAAGATCGTATTTTTAAAATAATAATTATAATTTAATAATCATAGATTTCATAATATATTTCTTTAAGATATAAAGATAAAATATAACTATTCTAAAACATGTATATTAAACATAAATCCTATTTTCTACTATTTTCTCTCAGATATAGTAAATTTCATTAAATGTATAATACATAATGTTTTTATCGTATTAAATTAACAATTTTGAAATTGATAAAAAAAAAAAATAGTTACGTATGTACTACTCGTATTTCATAATTAAAGTATCATTAAACCATTTATTAATAACGATTTTTTTTACTATATAATAATATATTATATTTATTATATTTAGCTGAAGAAGATGAAGAAGAACATAATTCTGAGATAATTACTTCGTTAAAAAACAACTTTCAACACTTAGATCCAAATAAATTAATGTTTCGATTAAACCTATTTCCTAAATTCAGCGAAGGTGGCCGTAGAATGTAAGTGTTACAAATAATAATTATAATAATCAGTGACGGCGCTAGAGTTTTTGGGGCTCTAATTAAAATAAATCACTATCTACCTATACAAAGTCTTTGAACCGCTATTCGCGGGGCCTAAATTATAATCTTAAATTGTAGGGTCCCCTATTGCAACTGCCCCTATTGTCCCCTCTCGCGCTGTCACTTATAATAATAATACCAAATGTAAAAAAAAAAGTTAAAAAAAAACTGTTATTTATAAATAAATGAAAATTTTAAGTGTCTTAAATACTTCAGTACAACTAGCAGTTAGGAAATTGAATATTTATTATATGTTGCTACTATTGTAAATGGCAAATTATGCAATTTACCCCCAAACATATTTTTATGCTATTCTTATAAAAAAAAAAAAAATACTAACTGACGGAATACTTTTGGTTTAATCATAAAAAAGAAAGTTTTTACTTTTTTTTCGCTGCCATTAACGTTATAAATAATTTCGACTATTATAAAATAATATTATTAAATTTTAAGACTTAAATATTAACTAATGTCATTATTATATGTTTAGTTCTAAAAGTATGAAAGACGAAGAACAAGAGAATCATATTAATCCGATTATTCACTTGACAACGTATAAACCACTGCAAGGTAATAATATCGTATAATATTTTTAAATATATTTTTAAATGTACTTTAAAATACCTATTGTTTTTTTTATAAATATTTAATGTTAAAAATTTAGATAAAGAAGAAAATGGAAAAGTACTTGATTATGAATATTTGTCGGAATCAAAAAATATAGCAAATATATCAAAAACACAATAATACTTAACTCAAGACTTGAACCATATTTATTAAGATATATTTAACTATACAAAATTTAATTATACTTTATAAACTAAAATAAGTTACATGGTTTTGAATGTTTAGATAAACCAAAATAAATATTTGAAAACTATTTCATTCATTTTAAGTAATAATTTCTAAAAGCTATTGAAATTGTTCAATCTTATGTAAAACAGGGTATAACTAAAAATATACCCAATTGAAAAAATATTAACATCATGTGTATTTCGTACCATAATCAAATTCAAATATTTTTATATATATATAATACTCCTAGTGTTTTTATTTTTGAAGCCAATATAGCTAATCAATGAAGAATACAGCCATGCTTAAAATCTATAAAAATATTTAGTTTATTTAATATATTTTATAAATCTTATATATACCTACCTGATATAGAATAAGGTTAATGATTATTATTATTATTATTAATATATGATGAATGTTATTTTTTTATTTTTTTTTTTGATACATTTTTATTATTTAAACTGTGAAAAAAATAATCAAAATATTAATAATTTACTATAATTTATGTATAATTGCTTGAAAAATATTTTTATGTTATTTTATAAATAATTAAAATTTATGTCATATAAATCATCACTCCATTGTAATATAGTATAATTTATATATAACTTGAACCTTTAAAGATAATATTGGTACAAAAGTGTTCAAATACATAATCTTAGTATAAAATGCTTTATAATTCATTATTTTGTATATGAATAATAATTTTAATTGTATGTGACAAATTGAAAACTTTGAAATGTGAATAAAACGTGCTGTTTTTTGTATTTACTATTTTAATTTTGTTAAAATGTAATAAATTATTTTTTTTAATTTTGATGTTTTAAGTATATTTATATACTCAGGTATCTCATAGCTCTTTCAATTGTTCAGTGTACTTGACAAAATTCTAATTTTTACTCAACTCATACAAACATAATGAATATTATTACACAACTTTAATTAAATAACCCATATTTGTAAACAGTAAACAGTGGAATATAGATGTCGGTAGAAAAACAAAATTGTTCAGACATGTTAAAAACTACAAACCCTTAATAATGCTTATGTGATTGTATATAAAATGTGTATCGATAACGAAAATTCTAGTTTTGCAATAACTTTCATCTCTTCAAATTAAAACTAGAACTCCCAAGTTCCAAAAACATAACAAATAAAATAGGTATTCATTATTTTATCTAATTTACATAATATAATATTATACTCGCATTAACTGAAACAGCTATTAATCTTTTCATTATGAAAGTTTAATACATAGTTCTATACAAGGTAATTCTTTTGTTGGACAATACTTATTATTTCAAAATCAATACATTTTTTTGATAATATTTATCTTACATAATTTCCTGTAAAAATAAAACATTTTTATGGTTGGCTTATCTAAACTTTAAAAACTTAAATTATAATAACTCATAAGCTTCTTATCTAAATTTCGATTTTTATGTTATATAAAAAGGCAACTAAAAATATTTTGTTTCAAAAATGAAAATTAAAAATATTGGTTATCGTTTTAAAAAGGAAAAACACTTAACAAATTATAACAATAGAAAAATATTTAAAAATATAATTTTTTAGATTTTAAATAATGAGTGTAGTTTAATAAAATAATGCTAAATATTGTCAAGTTCCAATAATCAATAATTATACATATTATACTATATACATTGTAAATTTATAAGACACTAAATGTTTGCATTAAAAGATATGACTTTCTTTTTTTGCAGCCAAATTTTTTTATTATCTTAAATTGTTTTTAAAAATGTAAAATGACACTAATTTTGAAAAATAAATATATATATGTAACACATTAAATTATCTTATTCTATATCTTAATTCTAATTACGCTCTATAGTTAAAATACATTACAAGTGTTATGATTACATTTGACATTAATAGCATTCATAATTAGAAATTGTTTATTATTAAACGGTTAGTACCTTTTTTGTTAATTTAGACAACTTAAATAATTATTCTTCATTCATATTTTAAGTCATCGAGTATTATCCAAATTCTCGTAATTTTAAAAACTATAGCGTGATAGGATTTACAAAAATTAAATTTATGAAATTTGTTTTGTTATAAATAAAACAATCAAAACTCTTTTGTTGTTGGAGCAATGTTGTGTCATGGACATTTGATACATTTTAGTTTAAATTGTGTGCACTCATATTGTATTCCCAATTAGCAACTGCTGTAATTAATTATGTGAAATGAAATAAAATACTCAAAAATACAATACAATATTAACACTTTTAAAAATATGTCAGCCACACGCTGTTTAAAAGTACACTTCATCACTATAGAACATGATGTTTAATTTAATTTATTTCCATGAGTCTTTTGGTTTATCTATGTGGCCATATCTCTGTCAGTTTTACTGTGACAACAGTAAGTCAACAAAACCTAAAGAAAACATTAAAACCTCTAAATTGGTTTATGTTTATTACACCCCTCATAATATACGATCACCCATTTAAGGTGCATCCATTAAATTGTTTTTTTTTTTTTTTTTTTTTTTTTTTAACATCATGTAAATATATAATATTTTTTATAGATTTTTTTATTATTCTGTAGTTCTTCGATACAGTATAATATCATTGCTTATTTTCAGAAGTTACTGTAAAAATTAATATATATAGAATAAATATCAGACCACTTTGATAGTTAAATAGTTTAATATTTTTTCGTAAAACCAACAAAACATCATTGTTCTATTATGGCTATACTATTTTCAGTTTGAGAGTACATCAGCTGACGAACGATAACTTATTTTATCTTTGAATGACTACTATCGGTTATTAATACTGATGTTCGCTCATCGATCATCCCCACATTTGCTACTACCACCTGTTCTTCCGTCACAAACGGCTGATAACGATTGTTACCGAACAATCAACCAAAAGGATCCGGCTACTTACAGCAGTCAGGCTGACTGAGTCAGCAATATATTATGCACAAACCGGTGTACTCTTAAACTGAACAGAGTATAGATATAGACCATAGGTAAAATAATGAGAAACTAAATAATTATTTTTTATTGTTTCAACTATTTCAACGTCCAATGATCAATTGTATTATAAATAAACATATTTACTTATGCCAGTAATTTTTTAATCAGCTATTAAATGTAAATTGGTAAAAAAAAAAAAAATACATGTTTTTCAATTAATTGAGCAATAATAAAACATGATGATTATTTCAAATCAAATTAATTCCTATTTATAAAAACATAAACTTTAAGTCTGTAACTAAACTAAATTGTAATCTTATCAACATTTAAAATATATATCTGTATTTTTTCAACAACACGCTCATAGGACAAAAAGAAAAAAATTAAATCTGATGTTTGCATTTATTTTTAATCATTACATAAAATTAGAGATAAGTTTAAATTTGAAATTATTTTTGGATATTGTGTAAGAATGTGATCGTTGTATCTTATAATTAAAACACATATTGCGGGTAGTCGTCCGAATAACCGTATGCATGAGAATAAGGAGATGGATAGCCAATAGAAATACCTGCAAATCAAATAGTATTTAGTGTCAAAAATAAATAAAATATTCATATGTATTATGCACGTTCTTTTTAAGTTTTTCAACTAAATAGTAACGATTTAAATTAATTCAATACCTAAGCCACTTCTGAATCCGTAAGGCGCATATCGCGGATATCCACCAAAACTAAACGAAAACGGCAAGTGGATATGCGATGTTTCCGCAGTTTTCATATTCTCATGTTCTGCACCGGTTGGTTGTGCAGCGGGCATTGCGAATGCAACACTCAACATTGCCAAACACATCAAGATCTAGAAGATAGAATGAAAAGAATAACTATTAGTCAAGTTAGGTTATAGTATTACTATTATGGTTACTACTCATTTAAATATATCGGTTATTAAGACTTAAAACACACGGATCTACGAAATAGTAGAATTATAATTATTATAGAATTATAATAACCGATCATTATTGAGTACTTGATTAAAATTAATATATTTTAATTTTTATATTTACCTATAATATATTGGCGATTGAATTAAAACCAAAACATGGTTTATTTAATCCAATATTTGTTCATTTATATAACTTAAGTTAATTAAAGAAATTATACTTGTTTTTTTAAATATATATTATTTAAACTAAAGAATTCCAGAATTTAAGAACAAATATAATCAGTACTTAAGATGATATCATATCAGTACAAATTGACTCCGTCTTTTATACAGCCAAAAATATTTAAAGCTTAGAAGAAACCATTTTATTATGTTATTTTTAGTATTAGAGTGAATTGAAATATTTTTAAACTTTAAGTTGAAATTATCAAGGGTATTGTAGTCTATAGATATATTTGTAAATAATAATAATAATGTTGCAAATTTGATGAAAAATGAATTCTTCTTACATGAAATAGTTAAAACTATAGTCCTAATTTAGAAAGACAGAAACAATGCACGTGATCGGTATGACGTTCCATTAAAAGTATTTTATTATTTAAATAAAAATATGTTCTTGTATATTTATGGTTTGAATGCCTTCTATTGATCAAAAATTTATTTGCAAGAAATTTATTTAACTATTAACTTAATATTTTCATATTTACATCATATAAAAATTATACATTTGAAATAAATATGTTATAAAAACTAAAAGCTAACAATTTATTACTGTTTAATCCCAAGATATTAATTATCAAAAACATATTGAAGAAAAATCAACCAATTAGCTAGTTATTTTAAATTTTCAACTCCAACTCCAGTTATACAAAATAATTATATTTATTTAATATTTTCTATTTTTAATAATTATTTAGGAATAAATATAATTTATATCATGGTTTACTAATTATGATATAAATTAAAATTCTCATACTATTTCAACTTTTCATCCTGTAAATCATTTTTAGATATGAAATTTTAATGTTCTTATTTAATTGCAAGAAAAGTTATGTATTGATACTACTACAAA